ACAGACTGGGGGTGAGAGCTCTGCTGTAACTAGATATAAAAAATTGGCCCGAACTGAATGCCGCATAACTTTTTTAAAGGTTCAAATGGGTGAGCCCGGCCTGTGAAGGCCCTGGGCGCCCCGCGGTAAGCAGCGCCGCGTAACCAATTGCGCAGAGGTTTATTTTACATGTCTAGGCGGCATTCAGTTGGGCACCCTAATCCCATACCCTACGTAAAAAGTGCTCTGATGCTCTTGCTTGCTCTGATGTTCTTGCTTGCTCGGTAGCCCTTGAAGTGCCTACACACCCAACACCCCCACTAGCCCCGCCGCCGGCCTCCCCCTTGCCGGCGCAGGGTAACGCGGTGACCCGGTTCCAGTGTCAGTGTCCCAGTGTCACACCCTAAACTCTAAACCCTAAACCCTAAACCCTAAACCTTAAACCCTACAAGACGCGTAGAGTCGAGCACATCCTCAACCCAAAGACCGAACCCCGAAACCCTCAGCAGATCCTAGCAAAATCTCTAATCCTCGTTTAGGGTTTAGGGTTTAGGGTTCTCAACCAACTCCCAAACTCCAAACCCACATCGTGAAGTTTAAATCCTATCCGCCTTGAGGCTGACATGGAACAGCGACGTTGCCCTAGTAGAGTGCTGCCTCATTCCCGCAGCCCAACCCCTGAACCCTGAACCCTAAATCCTGTATACGACCATTTTTTTCGAATGGCTACCCGGCTACCCATCGGACTCCAAGAAATAGCATGCCATGCCGTGCTTAAGTACAGCCAGTGTAGTGCAGTACTCAGTGTAGATGCAAGTAGCGGCAGGCTTGTGAATTGTGAAATATTCATGATTGCCTAGGACGTTCTGACGATGAAGATGCGTCAGCGGAGCTGGAAGGAAACCTGTGAGCAAGGTGAGCAATACTTCGTGACGCTCTCCACAGACAGCTCACCTCAGGGAGGATTGGACTACATTTTGTCGTTGGAGGTTGTCGTTGGAGGATAGGCTCAGCAGATGTGCAGCCGGCGAGCTCATGCTGGCTGAGGATGCCAAGGGCGTCGAAGCTTGGAGTCGAAGCCATTCCATTGAGGTTGCAACGTTGCCGCTGGGCTTGGTAGCATCAGGGAATGCGAGTGTTGCTTCGAAGTACGAAGCGCTGTTTCACTTTGTGAAACTGGACATTGGTGTCAACCTTCCGTTGCTGCAACAATACTCCATGTCTTCCTGCGTGAGTTTCTGTTCTGATTTCGGAACGGAAGCCCAGTTCACCGAGGCTGTTGTTTGAAAGATTGAATAAGATATCAGATGCCCTAAACCCCGGCGCCCTTGCGAAGCCAGAACAATGAACCACAACCGCTCTACTCCCTAAGATGCCTTTAAGCCCTTAAGACCTTAAGATGCCTAGGGCCTAAACCCTCCCACCCAAGGTGCCGCCTGTCAACATCAGTGAGATGCTGAAAATTGCGATTGCCTCCTCGAGTGATTTGCTTGGCCGCGATAGCGCGGCGGGGCCTCTGACGATTGAGGATCCAGACGCCTTTGATCCACCAGTTGCGGCGGCTGCTCGAGATGCTGCTGCAGCTGCTGACGGTGCATTCTGGAGCCCTTCAGGGGCACTGATGTGCCCGGGCCTGAAGCACCTATGTTCCAACATAGAGGGCGATGTTTTGAGAAAGCTCGCCAACTTCAAGCAGTTCCAGGACAGGGCAAGGGCAGGGTTCAGAAGTTCAGAGGGCCCTGTCGAGAATGCCAGTCTGGAGGGAGATGAGAACTGCAATTGAGAATGCCAGTCTGGGCCAGTCTGGACGGAGTTGAGAGTTGTAACTATCAGATCGGCTGCACATTGGGCAGGTTGATATTCAGTGCCTGCAATTCCGTAAACCCGGTATGCTCGACGGATCCATCCGGAACCGGTGCGAGAGAGAGCGAGAGAGAGAGAGAGAGAGAGAGAGAGAGAGAGAGAAGGAAACCTGTACCTCGACTTCGCCTGCAGTGCCGGGCCGAGTGCGAGTGCCAAAACCAAAACTACCGTTGCAGGAGCAGCTCAAGGCGGCGAACACGCTGCTCCATCAGAAGTATTATCGCGACCGATTGAAGGAGCTCTTCAAGTCGCACCCTGCGGAGCAGCTGTTTAAGTATCACGATGGAGGCAATCTTATCGTCTGGAGATGGGGCTCGCTGGTTGAAGTGTGCAAAGCGATGCACAAGCGAGAAGGGGCGCTCCGATCGAAGTGGAGTCTGCAGAAGTTCCTTGCTGTGCCGCAGTCGTTTTCTGGCGCGGCGGAGGCACACAATCCGGAAGGCGCCGGCCCCGACGATGATGCAGATCAGTCGCAGCAGCACTTGCGCACGGAGCATCAACTCCTCCAGCTCGCTGACAAAGCATGGACTTCGCCCTTCTTTTGGGCATGCGTGCCACTGGGATTTGCTTATGTAATGCGTGTAATGCTTGCTAAGGCTTGCTAGTTTCAGAGCTTCAGTTTCAGAAGCTTTCAACCTTGAGCGAACGCTTACAGTGATGAGGAAGTTCATGCTGATGATCAATGGTCTGTTGGAAGACCTCTCCACATGGGGCGAAGCATGCCCGTGTCACGGCTGGGAGCTGCCTGGATGCCCACTTCGTGGCCGGAGGGCTCCCGCATGTGCAGGAGGAGTCTTTGACAGCTTCTTGGATTCCACCTTGGCTTCAGTGGCTAGCTTTTTTTTGTCTGCGGAGCTGGCCTGGGCGAAGGGAGTCCTGAATGGAACGCTTTGGCATCGGACTGGAATTTGGCTGTGGACATCATTTGCTCCGAAGTTCACACCAAAACAATGCATTGGAAGCAGCTGCCGTGGCTGCTGACTAGCATTGCTCAGCATGATGCGGAGAAAGCGAGGTCGGCAGCACGAAAGTTTATCGACAAATACGAGTCATCAAGCACGGATCCTCTTACAGCTTTCGCCAAAAGGCACAGAATGACTCGACGATTTCTGCAAGCTGACTACGAGGGGGTGCCAGGCGACTCTACGGATGTTCCTCTCAGGCCATTTCTGGACGACTTCCTGGCCGGAGCAAGCCTCGGCGATCCTGAGATGACTCCGTTGCGTCAATGGCTTGGTGCTCTGCGCTTGGTGCGAATTGTCGAGCGGGCCACCGAAGATCCTGGGACGGTCTCAAGCTGTTGAATGAGTGACGTCTCTGTGTGTGTATGAGCGTGTGTGTCTTTTGTGTGAGCATGCGAGAATAGAATTGTGTCGTCGTAGCATGCTGCAAGGCGGGGTGACGAGGTCAAGTAGGGTAAGTTGGACGCTCGTTGCGAGTTGCTGCTTGACGCTTGAGGCGGACAACCCTTGACTTTGACTGAACTGTTTAATAATTGATGTTTCCAGATGTCAATCCAAACTCATATAGGTTTAGTCCAAACTCATAGGTTTAGATAGAGCGTAGAGGCTTAGATTTCAGGAAAGTAGAGTAGGTAGAGTGCAGAATTTCTGTCATTTCGAAGCCCAAATCATACTTCCCACTGTCACCCACCCTTCCCGGACCATGGCGCAGCACAAGCTGGTCAAGCATGTTCTCGGCGGAGCCCCCAATGCCTCAGAGCCGTATATCTCTGTCGAGTCGCGAGCTCCTATGATTTTGCAAACGATTGCGGGAACACCACAGGACCTGGTTCAGCGTTTGTCGTTGTAGTTCAGGGTCGCCATCTAAGTTCCTTAATTGCCAGGCTGGACCGGACCATGCTTTGTAGTCTGTCTGTGCGAAGGCGCTGCAACAAGCTGCAGACGACCACGACTACTTGAACTCCCACGCTGGTTTGTGCAGTGAAGTGGCAAAGCTTGTCGGAGGACCAGACTGCGTCATTCAGCTCAACACTGGTAGCTGGTGAGTGATGGTTTGTGTTTTGTCGGGATTCAGAATTTTGCATGCCAAATGCCAAATGCAATGCGACCAATGCAATTTGTGAAGTGAAGTTGAGCTTGCCTGTGGGCTCCTGCGTTGAGTTGAGTGGTTGAGTACGGGTATGCGGGTCGCTGTGTCGCTTGATAGGTGATGAAGAAGCCGGCCAAAGACATCACTCACAGGGATCTGTGTAATCTGCTTTATCAGCGGTCAATGCAGTTCCGGCGTGGGAAGACAACTTCGGCAGAAGTTCCAAAAGGTGACGCGGCTGTCCTCCGCAAGAACAAGAGATCTTTGGCCGAAACCGACAAGAAGAATGCCACGAACTTGCAGAAGCCACCCGGCCAATACTGTCGCCCAGGGCAGGGCTTGCATTCGGCATTTTTTAGCATTATTTGAGGTGCTTGCTGCGATTTGTTTATGTGAGTGACCCAGTGAATGAGGCTGATGCTGGACCACCTGAAGAACTCTGTCAACTACCATGCATTCTACTCGCTTCCTATGCAATTGTTTGAAGCATTGCCGAAGCAATCCTTGTTGCTTAGCTGCACTTTGGCACAAATTTCGGATTGATTTGATTTTGTCATGCCATGTGTGGTGTGCGCTGCATGTCACGTTTATGTACGGTTAGCCGAGGCAGCTTGCGTTGTCAGCTGGAGTTGTTCCAGCAGCACTGGACAGCAAACGTGATGCCTCGTCTGGCATCCCGGCCATCGTGGACAGATCACATGGTGATGGCGGTGATGGACCTGTCCATGGCCCTGCTCAGAAACGGCAGTGCTCTATGCTCCGGTATGTTATGGATGATGTGGATTCAGAGCCGGTCCCCGCCAGGCCGGCCGGCGCCAGTGCCTGGTCTGACATGGCATTTTCCTCGGTGCGAGCTGGCTACAACCCTTCAAGTTCAAGCGCATCGCCACAGCCGGCGCCAGTTCCACCTCAAAAGGCGAGCTTGTGCATCTTCAAAATCTGCCACAAAGACCTGGCGAGCATGAAGTGTCCTCTGTCTGCTGTTGACAATGTTCGCAGCGGGGACATCGCTGTGAAATCTTACTCGGCCGAGGTCTATGGTTCGAATTCAAGTGATGCCGGGCCCACGCTGGCAGTTTCGAGAGATGCGAGTTCGCGGGTATGGTTGCTGCGCTTGCTGAATGACTTGACAGCTGCCGGTCTTTCGGAGGAGGAGGTCGGCAGGGAGCTGAAATCATGGGAGCAGGTTGGTTCATCACCGGTGAAGGTGAGCCCAGCTTTGGGCGACAAGCTTTCGCCCGCAGCCTTGCAAATTTAATCCGAGATGGCGTCCTGCAGGGCCTTTGAAGGCTTTGGTCGCACATTCACACTGCATGCGTCATCAGAAATTGAAACAGAAGCATTACGCCAACTTCGTGAAGCTGGTGCTGTGAAGCAAATTCTGCAAAAGGACACGGATCAACCATCTTGGGTGTTGACAGCCACAGCTGCCGCTGCTCTGGAATGCAAAATCATTATTGGAAACCCCAAGATTGTCTTTGGGGTCAGAACTGGGGTGCCTGTCGAGGATAAGACTTCCTATGAGTTGTACATGACGCTGTCGCGCCTGGGCTTCAAAGAGGTGACCGTTCCGTCGGAGATCTTAAGGTTGAACAAGACGTTCTATCAGGGGAGCAGGAAGGGGCCAGGACGGGGGCAGGGTTTCAGGATATCTCTGAGTCTTCTATGCCGTAGTTGGTGAAGTTATGCAGTTGTTGTGTCTGGTATATGTATTGTTGTGTATGAAAGTTATGAAAGCTAGTTTAAGTTGTAACCGTTTCATCAAGTTTAATCAAAGGTGTAGTCGGTAGCCAGGGTCCAGTGACCAGCGTTTGCCAGGAAGCCGCAAAGTCATCGTGTCGGCGCAGCGCAACTACCTCGAAGCGTTCTGTTCTTGTTCGCGACTGTTTGGCAACGGTCTCAAGGAGCTCTGGCACGGACAAATCGCGGCTTACTACCAGGCCCTCGTCAAGTGCGACGATTCTAAAATCAAACAGATAGTTCCCAATCAGCCTGCCGCGTGGTATAAGAAGTTCTGGAAGCCACAGAAATGCGAGGCCCCAGGCACATCATGGATGTTTCATGGCCAAGGTTCAATGAATCTTAGCATGCCGTTGCTTCAGTCCCGTTCCGCCTGCAGACACTCACTGCGCAGCTGCAAATGGCTGTTAGAACTTAGGTTGAGCCTCGAGGATTTGGCAGCTGAGCAAATGCTGAAGATAGATGAGCCGACCTCCGCCACCGACGCCGCCGAAGCGACGTCAGATGCCGATGACGATGGTGTCGCTCCCTCTGCAAGCAGCTCTGGCCCGCAGCGAAGCGCTGCTGAACTGGCCAATGAGTTCGAAAGGCTGGTACGTGAGAGACAGCAGGCGGATGATGCCGGCCTTGAGCTTTCAAGCTCGTCTCGCCGTCGGAAGGTTGACAAGGGTAAACAATTTCAGCCGCGTTCCACCAACATCTTCAATGAGAGCACGGTGTGGTTTGGGAACACCCCCATCGTGTACAAAACTGACACGCCAGCCAGGGCTTCGTTTTCGATTATCAGTTCGATTCATGACTCGTAGGCCATAGGGCTCGTCAGTCGTCAGTCGTCATGGTTTCGTTGCAGGTCAGATTGAGTCAGACTTAGATCCACTTGTGCAGTTCACATTTGACACTCCACTGCCATGTCTTTTGCAGTCGGTCCGATAGATGACTAAGCGCCAGCGCTTAGCTTCATCAGGTTCCCACGTACTACACCCACTGCCGGGTACATCAATGCCAAGGGCAGTTCTGCCGAAAAGACCCCCCGGTTCTGACGGGTTGTGCAAGGTTTTACGGGGTCTTGCCGAGGTGGGCGGGACACCGGGGGCGGCACTAAGGCATTTCCTTTCGCCGAAGAGCACCCCCCCCTCGCCCGTATTCCTTCCGTCAGGGCGACAGTGCCATCCGTCTTTCCCATTCCTTCCCCACTTCGCTCGCTCCTACACTCAGTAGATCCTCGCCTCGCCTCGTCCCCTGCTGCTCCACTCCACCCCGTTTGTGCTTTGTCTTTTCGGTCCGTCTTATCTTTATGTCCAACTCACACAACTCCGCTGAGCCTTTGTCAGGTGCACTGAACTGGTACTTGTTGATGCTTTGTCATGTCCTTGCGCCCGCCCCCGCATCAAGTCTAGGCGCGTCGCCTTGTGTATCCTTTGTTTATTCGGCTCTGCCGAAATTGCCACGGACTCGTCATGGCAAGAAGATGCCCGCCGTGCCGTACGCATGGGTCTGCTACTCGTGGAGCGCAGCATTAATGCTCTGCTCCCGGAGGCTGCTGGTGGACTTCCTTCTACAGCTACGGCTCCACCTGCAGATCCCCGGGTACTCCACTCCTCTTCACCAGCAGCAGGTCTACTTCCGCGCCCCACGCGTGGGCCGGCACGGGCTCCTCCTCCATTGGACCCTGGCAATCCAGGGAATAGCCCTCCGTCAGCAGGATGCGGGGCGGAAAACCGCTACCCTCCCCGTGTTCGTCCTCAGCGTGCTCGGATTAGTGGTGTACGTCAAGAGGCTTGGGCCGGCGCCCGTGATGGGCGACCTTCTGCTCGTGCACGCGCCCTCCCTCGTCCTCTTCCAGTGCATGCTGATCCTCGCCGCTCTCGTCCGGCACGTCCACGACTCGTTTCTGGCGCCATTGGGGCGGCCCCGCATTCCAGCAATCGCGGCCCCGTTAATAAAGCGCCAGGCGTTGCTGGTGGTCCTCCTCCACTTCGTGCTCGAGCTGGCTCCGGTCCACCTCCGCTATCGCCCCGCAGTTCCCATTCTCGTGAGGGTCATGGCCACGCTCGCTCGCGCAGCGCCCGCCGCACACGGGACGCCATGGGCGCACCTTCCAACCCAGGGCTGGCGCCAAAGATGGCGGCTCGCCCGCCCAATGGTGGACCAGCTTCCCGTACCACTGACACTCCAAGACAGCCAGCCCCACTCACCGTATTTCGGTCAACCTCCGGGACGGAAACTGTCCCCAAGTCCAAGCGGAAGCGTGCCAAACCTGGCACATCCTCCGATAGTCCTGCTTCACCGGCCGCGGTGCAGATTGCAGCCTCGCCCAGGTTGCGCTTGCCGGCAGGGCTACACATCGTTGGCCTACCCCGTCACCCCAACTTCAGCCAACTGGAGGCTCTTCTGAGCCACGTGGCGGGGCTGTCGCCTTCACTCGCTGGATTAGAGCCCAGCTTCCAACTTGCACAGACCAGGCGAAGCTCACGCAAAATCCCTG